GTACTTAAGTATGCACCTCACCTTAGCTTGCACCCTATCTCTCAGCCCATCTGTTTAAAAAAGTACTGAAATATTCACCCCTAAACAGTTCAGGGTAGGTCACGAGTGTTTCACAAGTGACAATACTTTTCTTGGTATGGAAATGAGAGTTATTCAAATGAAGTTACTTTCCACTGTCAGTTCTAAAATTGCAAGGCATGCAGTTTTTGGTGACTTAGAACCTCTGAATTATCCTGTAAAATTCACTAAATTCACCTAAAACGCCTATCCAAGGAATACCTGGAGTAAACTGAAAGGTGTTCTTGTTCCATCTTTAGTACATATATATATATATCTATATCTATATATCTATATATATATATATCTATATCCATATATATATATATATATATGCATGGTATCATTTGAAAGGTAACACTAAAGTTTTTTCCCACCGCAAGTGTGAGTAATCACTGAAAGTGCTTCTGTCACTGAGTTCTAAGGTTTCAAGCTGAAATTATATCTTTTTTTAACTTCACCTGAATATTTTCTTGAAAAAAAAAAGATGCTGCAGATGACTAGCACTGGGAGTTCTTAGCTGGAATACACAATGAGACCACAGCATGAAGCCTCACCTAGTCCAAATTCAAGGTAAATAACAATATCACAGAAAACAAATATTTTCCACATTGTCCTAAGGTCTCTGTCAAGGCGCTTTTCAAAAAAAAAAAGTGGGTAAACAATGTACTGAATGTTTGAAGATGAGAGAAAACAAGTCGACACAGACAGAAAAGTCTATTTAAAAGCTTACTGCAGGGGCGTAAACATAGACAGTGCAGGCAGTGTGGTTGCACTGGGGCCCATGGGGTGGAGGGGCCCGACTGCCACCTGGAAATATGCCCATGTTCAAAGAAGAACTCACATTACATGCCCTAAATAAGGCAAACCCATCTCCATCTTGGTTTTCTGGTTTTGTAAAACAGTGTCAATCTATAACAAATTATAAACGTATTCTACATAAACTATTGAAAAAACTATAATTTACCAATAAAAAACTATCAGGTTAAACCACTAATTTTCTGTGTGTGTGTGTGCTTCATAACTTGTGCATCTTTACAAGAAGGAACAGAGCCGCTTCTATTTTCTGAGGATGCTCCGCTCCTTTAACATCTGCCGGACTATGCTGAGGATGTTTTATGAGTCTGTGGTGGCCAGTGCTGTTCTGTTTGCTGTGGTGTGCTGGGGCAGCAGACTGAGAGTAGCCGATGCCAACAGACTCAACAAGCTGATCAGAAAGGCCAGTGACGTTGTGGGGGTGGAGCTGGACCCTTTGACAGCAGTGTCAGACAGGAGGATGCTGTCAAAGGTGCAGGCGATACTTCAGCATGGCTCTCACCCTCTCCACAACGCTCTGCTCGAACAGAGGAGCACCTTCAGCCAGAGACTGATTGCTCCTAAATGCACCACTGAGCGCCACAGGAAGTCATTCTTACCTGTGGCCATTAAACTGTACAACTCCTCCCTCTGATGATCGGACTCATTTGGCTATTTATAAAACAAAACACACAATATAATTACTCATTCTTATTTCATTTATAACGCTACAACCATTTCATTGTATACTGTATATATTTCAGATTGTCTACTTTACTATTTTATTATTTATTTTATTTTATTGTCTACTTTAATATTTTATTTTATTTTATTTTAATGTCTACTTTCAGATTTTATTTTATTTTATTTTAATGTCTACTTTAATATTTTATTTTATTTATTTCATTGTCTATTTTAGTATCTTATTTATATCTTCATCTTTATCTCTTGTTTCCATTCATGCTGTATTTCTATTTCTACTTTGCACGGAGCATTGGAACAAAAACAATTTCCCCCCGGGGATTAATAAAGTATTCTGAATCTGAATCTGAGTAACTAGGGCATAAGAGGGCCCCTCATAAAACCTTAAGCCACTGGCTTTCTAAAACACTTCTAGAAAGACTGAATTGATAAAACAACATAGGAGCCACTTGTTTATCATTTACATTTGTAACAGTCTGTGGTGCCTGTAAGGAGTTTAATCCTCCTGTGGTGCTCCGGAGTGTCACTGACTACAAAACCTGTAGGCCATTGGGCCTGAGAAATTTCCATTATCATGCAGCTACAGGTTGGTCAGCTAATGTCCATTCCCTTCAGAGATCATGATCAGAAACACACACACACACACACACACACTGCAATCCTCTAAAACAAAATCTAGAATCTCTCAGATTCAAACTCAAAAGTCAATAGTTATTTTATTTTGTGTGATTTTAAACTATCTTGCTTAACTTGAAGATCTGTACTCTTACCCCTTTCCTCTCTAATGAGAAGCATAGGAATAATCTGTTGGGTTTTGTGTATATTTTGATTGTATGTCAGGACTGTGCAACTGCAGGGTTTGCATTGTCACTGCTAAATACAAAAACAAGAACAAAAAAAGAAAAACATGTATTAAGGCAAGTTGTGGTATCTATTCTTTTACAATTTGTTTACTGCTCCATTTTAAGTATATTAACACCAGGGTTAGAAGTAGCGTATTAAAATTACTCTCATAACTGTAACAAAGCTGTTTTTTGTGTAAAAATAAGAAATTTTGCTTTTACTAAGGGGCTTTCTGTCCTAAATATTGCACTTACCTACATCTGAAGTTTCATTCTTTTACAAAGTAAAAACTAGTCACATAAAAAAAAATTAAAAATGGAACAGATAAACAGACTAAAAAAGGGGGGGGGGGCTGAGTTCCAGCAACACTCTGGAAAAGATACTACTACCTTACATGGCTGTCATGGGGTGTTGGGGGTGCAGTAACACCTGGGCTGGGGCAGCCAGTTTGTGAACAGTGGGCTAAAACTGCAATATAATAAATAATTACATCATTACTGGTTAAGGTTAACATTACTGTGCCTTAGGTGATTGAAAAAAAAGGTTTTGTCTACTTTATTTAATCACCAGTTTCTACCACCCAGCACACCAAGCACCAGCATGCCAAGTGACCCAATTCAAACTCACCCAACTGGGTGGGACTAAATACTCAGTGCTGTCATGCACATGCTGGATTTTCCAGCAGTCCACTGAGGAACTTTTACCCTCAGTGAGGTGTGTTAGGACTTTCTGCTGAGCCTCATTCAACTCAAAATGTTGAAAAACTCAGAGAGACTGGGACTGGTTATACTGGGGCAGAGGTGCTGAGCGGACTGGACCTATTATATTTTGGACACAGCAAGTAGGAAAGTTAAATGGGGAGCAGATTAGAGGACTTTGTGGTGCACAAGTCTCACAGAATGACGATCAGACAGGTGAGTAAAGCAAAGTCACTGCGATAGTTGTATGCATAGAAACCTATGGTTGTCTATAACTCTCTAGAGGAGGATGTCAACTTTGTCTGACAACATAGCATTATGTGCGTGCATGTATCTGCACTACAAGCCGTGTAAAACTGGTGCCGTCACCTTTACTCTAATACATGTGTCTGTGAGCAGCAGAGTTTTTCTTGTTTATACCTCTCTGTGTTGCATGCCTTGCATCTGTAACAACCATGTGGCTTTTGCAGCTAGCATGGTGTCCATAGACTTGGTCATCTTACTATATAATGACGAAAACTCTGTGGGTGTGTCTGTCTGTTCCACGTTTTTCTCCTGACTGACTTGGTCAATCCATGTGAAATTTGGCACAGTGGTAGAGGGTCATGGGAGGATGCGAATGAAGCAATATTACATCAGTTGGCCAAAGGGGTGCGCTATAGCAACCGACTGAAATTGCAAACTTTGAATGGGTATATCTCATGCCCCGTATGTCATAGAGACATGAAACTTTGCACAGAGATGCCGCTCCTCATGAGGAACAAATATAGATTTTCCTCCATTTTGAATTTTAAAAAAACCCACTTAAAATCGATCTCTTGACAAAAGTTGGAAAACTTACTAAAACTGAGCTTCTATAAGGCAATGAATATTGCGGAGGGTGTGGCTCATCACATAAAGGTGTATAACATCTTAAGGGTTTCACTGATCACCACGCAACTTTGTAGGCATATGACCACACATAATCTGAGGGGCCCCCTCCATTATTGACCCCATCAAACAGAATGGGGGCGCTAGAGAGCTAATTTCTATCTAGGCCTAACCTCCATATCAATTTTTACTAAACTTGGTAGATATGTAGAACAGGACGCCTCAAGGTGACTGGAGAAATTTAACTGTAATTGGCAACTGGGTGGTGCTATAACAACAGAAAAACATGCAGCAAAGGGCCATAGGCTGGACTCGAAACCCTGGCCGCTGCGGCAACAGCCTTGTATATGGGGCACCTGCTCTACCACTAAACCACTGACGCCCCGAATGTTCTTGGTTTTTTTTTTCTAATTTTTGGTATGACTAAGTCATGGTATGGTATGCTGTACATGATCACGGAAACTGTCATTCTGTCATTCTGTCTGTACCATGTTTTTCTACTCACTGACTTGGTCAATCTATGTGAAACTGCACATAGGCATTGAGGATTAGCATAGGTAGAAGGTGACAAAGCTACCAATGGGTATGGACTAGTTTTTGTTTAATTCGCTGAGTTTTGTCTCTTTTCTGGTTGATTCTGGCTACACTGATGACATCTGTGAATAACTGATCATCAGCTGTATGCACAGGCTGCAAGCGGCAAGAACAGTTGTTGGTTTGGACGTGTGGGTTCTGTGTTGTGAGGTGCAGACGTTCAAATGCATCCCATGTCACCAACTGGAGCCCACTGTTCCAAAAACTTCAAATCAGAATCTGGTTCAGTTTATTATTTCTATTCATGACAAGAACATCCTCATGAGTAAGGCTACAGTGCACAGGAGTGTGTTTCACCAGGCTGCAGTAGCCTGAGAAAAATTAAATGTGAATGTGAATAACACAGTTCAAATAGGGGCCAAAATATTATCCTTAAAGGGAGACATGCAAAACCACAACAACTTATCAGTGTACAGAAAAAAAATCAGTATCAGATATATGTGGTATTTTCACAATATAATTTTATTGAAAATAGAATACAAAAATATGATACATAAATATTGAGCATAAAATCAGCACTACAAAAATATTTGCTTGTGTTGGCACATTCAGTCTGCATGTATGAACATGGTCACTGTGACAAAAACATCAACAACAAGAGGAAATGCTCGCAGTATAATGCTTCTCTTTATAAAACGGAGTATAATAGAAACAAAGACATTATAAAAATACATCAGTAAAGATACAATGATACCACTGATAATACCAGTACAGGAAATAACATGATGTAATACAGCAAATGAAAATGTTGAAATATGGTCTGTCTGCAGTTGCATTCAGGGGCCACTTGGTTTAAAACCTGAGTGCTACTGTCATTTATGAGAAGCTGTACTTTTCAGCTGACACTGATGTCAGTTAACTGGTGAGAGTTAGTTCTCCTTTATATTTTGGAGACATTTTGCTATTATGCTTACCAATGGTAGAGCTGCAGTACCGAAATGCAGGAAATGCACGGAGAGATGACATACAACAAATGTCCCCAGCTTGAATCAAACCCCGGATGTTGCATAACCACATGACTCCCCCTCTAAAGGTGCTGAATGTCTGCGTATATCACCCCCAATGATGTCATGGTGATGTCAGTGCAGTATCTCAGTTTGGGCCTCAAGACTACACATTCATAACAGAAGCCTGACAGACATGAGCACTAACTAGGCTGAGAGGGTGTAAGGACAGACACTATCTAGTTGCATCGTGGGAAGTGTAGGATTTGGTCTTTATGGATTTTTTTGGAAATTCTCAATATACAAATTCTCATAAATGACAATATTAAATATTTACATGTCCAAAAAGGAGCAGGAAGTATACATGTATTTGTCCTACCCCTTCTCCATATCTCAAACTCTCAATTTACTCAATATTTAACAAACATACAACAATATATAAACAATATATTCTTTTTAAATTTACAACCCAACCAGTGTCACTCATAACTTCAACTATTTAGAACAAAATGACTTTATGTTCATCCTACCAATCCTTACTACCCAGACAATATCAGCCTCTGCTGCTTATATTATTTTTAACATTCGATATTGAGATACCCACATATTTAAGAGTGCATAATAATAATAATAACAATAATAATAATAATATTAATAAATCTTGCTGTTTTTTATGGGAAACAAAACAACAAAAAGAGTGTCTGACAGAAAAAAAGTAGGAGATATTGAATACTAACATAAAATCTGTTTTATTAAAAAAATGCTGAACAGCTCAACCAGCAACAACAGTACAGTATATAAAGAAGCCTTGTGATTGGAGGAACAAGCTCAGAAGGAGGGAGCCACTGGGAAAAAAGTCTAATGAAAAACTTTAAGTGTAAATTGACTGGATGGGATGCCTATTCAGTCTGCATGACAGAGTATAGAGTGTAATGATTTGAAAATAATCTGTTTTCTTTTGTGAAATGCTGATTAATATCAGTAGAAATTTTGCAGAGACATTTTCAAAATTTGACAGGGAAATGCTCTGCTGTGCACAGACACTGCAAAGGTTAAACTGACAGCTTGGTTATACACTTCCTCTCTTTGTCAGGTTGTGGTTTTCTCTAGGTTGAGGTTAGGTGCAAATCTACCGGTACATATGCTATGAAACTTGCAATAAGTGTTTCCAGCTGCACCAGGGACTTTTTGCTGTGCAACACTCTGATACACACAAAACCGATGCACTTGTAAGAGTGGTCATCATCAATCAAAGTTAATATTTGTTTCCCCCCTCTTACTTAATGGTGTTTGCTCTGATTGAATGCAAGGAAATGGTGAGTAACCGAGTCTGCCTCTGGATTGTTGCAGCACTGTGCGTCTGTTGTTTCTTTTGGCAGCTGATATGAAATGAGGTTACTGGGGCTTCTGATGCTGACGTTGACAGCTGGTGTAGTTGACACAGTTTCTTATTCAGTTTCTGCCAGTAGCATTATTAATCAGGGAAAACTACATGTAATTCATAAACAATATCTCTCTATATATCTAAAAGCATATTTACAGTACAATTCCATTATACATTTGTATGTCTATGGAACTTATAAAAGTATAATATGACAACATCATGAGACCATAAACCTCATGTCGCTCAAGCTAACACACAGTCACATGTACTTCCCTATATTATTAATAACCACTCACTAGCTAACCTAGTTCCCCTTCCAAGACCTAAAATGTACCCTATCATTAGAAGTATATTATACATGACCTTCCTAAAAAAGCAATGCATAGATTCATACAAAAGGAACTGCCCTCAGTCATCACCTATGACCCACTAGAAGTGTGGGGCGGTGTCTGTATCTACAGAGAACCTGCCCTTTGCCTGTATTTTTTTAGTACTTTGGTTTGTTTTGGATGTTTGTGGGTGTAAACTTTTCGGACGTGGTGCGTAGCCCCCAGCTAAAAGCAACGCAAGGTCAGGACTTTTAAGAAAAAGCTTAGTGACCAGGTTACATCACTGTCCCCGTCTCTCTCCTCTGCTCTGTGGATGTGAACGGCAGGTTTGTGCATCTTTTTGATACACACACACCGCGTGCACACACACACACACACACACACACACACACACACATAGAAGTGGATGCAATGAAACATGCGTTTAGGCTGAATTCAGACAAAATCCAGCAATGCAGCACCTTAGGTAGGGTTGTGTGGAGGTGTGGGCATGCTTATTTGTGCTTTAGAACACTTAAAAATAAATCTAAATAATCTTTTATTTCTCTGATTAAGCCCCTTTCCCACTGGACAAAAATCCACTAACACCCACTAACATGTGGCTTTTGTGTTGGAAAGGTTACGATCGGCATTCACTCATGGGGGACAAATGACTCTGAAGTAGTCACAGGTATTTATCAGCTCCAGCTCTGATGCAGTAGACACCTGACACCCAGATTGGCATGCTAATTTTAGCCCCTTTGCGGGAAAGATGCAATGGCTGGCCATCTCCATCCAAGCAGCGCTCAAACATCATTTAAACTTTAGTCTGCACTGGTCTTGGTCTGCACTGAGTTTGAAGAGACTGAGTAAGTAAGACATATAAAGAACAGGTAACCACCTTTAACATCTTCACTGGCCTCCATCCTGCTTTCTATTGTTTACTAACCTGTTTTATGGTCTGTTTGTGACGTCAAACATAACACATCAGAAAAAAAAAACAGACAGGCATACTGCTGCAGAGCTGTGTGCATGGTGGAAAAGGGCATCAGTCTGATTGAGCTAAAGAAAGAGAGGCCAAGTCTGAATGTTGTGTTTAGGAACAGTAAGCGATAAATTTTACATAGCATGCGTTTACCCGCAACCCAACTGTAATCTTAAGTAAACTGACGTCCTAAAATAGTCTATAAGTGAGCATTAGCCAGAATTACCTCTTTCTGACTTCACAAGAAAAATGACCTCATCTTGGAAACAACCACACAGACCGAAACACGCATCACACAGCAGTGCTCCTCTCGTCCAGACTGGAGGTCTGTGAGTAGACTGATGTTGAGATTCTGTCCTGAGGTATGCAGACCTTGACCATCTGACACAGCCTGCAAGGAGTTCTGTTTATCAACCGCAGCAGATGCTTCCTAAACTTCTCCCCTACAAACACGTACAGGATGGGGTTGAGGCAGCAGTGAGAGTAGGCAATGGCCTCAGTCACTTGTAAAGCCAATGTGATGGCTTTGCTGCTTTCGCATGATGTATAGATGTCCAATAGCTCCAGCGCTTTAAAAAACGATGCCACATTGTAGGGGACCCAGCAGCAGAAGAAAACAGCAACTACTATGAAAACTAAACGGATGGCCTGTTTCTTGGATGACTGGCTATACAGCAGCCTCCACACAATCTGTGAGTAGCAGACAATCATGATGACAATCGGGACAAACAGACCCAAAATGTTCATTTTAAAAAGGCTGAAGACCCTCCAGAAGTGAGAGTTGAATGCAGGGGCGTTAACTGTGTGATATTCAGGGGAGCAGAACGTAGAATTATTGAAAGACTGCTGTTTGAGAAAGATCATGTCAGGGAAAGAAGCAAAGAATCCAACAATCCAAGTGACAGCAGCTGCAATCATTCCAAAGGACCTCGTCCGTACCCTCAGGGCGTAAACAGCCTGGACTATAGCAAGGTACCGGTCGATGCTCATTAGACTGATGAAAAAGATCCCACAGTAAAACACAATGTAATAAATACCCAGGACTACTTTGCACATCCCATCCCCAAATCGCCACTGGTCCCGGGCTTGGTGGGCTAGGAAGGGAAGGGTACACACCAAGAGGAGGTCAGCAACAGCCAAATTTAGGAGGCACACATCTGTCATGCTGCGGAGTCGCACCCCACAAGTAATGACCCAGATGACCAGAGAATTACCCAGAAGACCCAGGATGAAGAAAATGGCATAGAGGGGTGGCAGAAAAGTGGCCGCATGTCGCTCATACGTACACAACCCGAAGCCTTCTTCAGGGTAGTCAGAGTAAGAGTAGTAATCTATTCCGGTCACAGAGGTGATATTGGTGATGGGTGCTGTAGTAGAGCTGGTGAGGAACAGGGAAACAAGGAACAATGCATGATTAGAAAGTTCCCTTTATTTCAGGTCAGTTTATTGGATCTGTTAACCATTAATGGATAAAATCAACAAACTAAAACATGAGTTGCCAGCAAGCTTTGAGACTCAACTTGACTTGAGACTTGAAGGCAAAATATTGAGGACTGAGACGTGACTTAGTGACATAGTAATATTGAAAAAAAGCTGCACTGAACATATTGTGTATTTTAGAGCGCTTCCAAATTGTCACAAATAAATCAATAACATAATGAAGACACAAATACTGGAAATGGAAAAGAGAGAACACTCTTATTAAATAATCAGTTAGTTTACATGAATTAGTAAATTAATAGTTTTCTTTTTTACTCTAAATTGTGAAAATGTTCTGATCACATCTCTTATAATCCCTGCCTTTCATTATTAAAAAAATGTCCCATTCCTTTTTGTAAAACATGTGTTTTTACTTGTCTATTTTTACTTCCCCATATAATATTTTTTTTAAACCTGGAGGATATTATTGAAATATCTGCCAGGTATATATATATATATATATATACATATATTTTCTTCTTCTTTTTCTGATTTTTCCCTATGTGCTTCATGACCTTGGACATGTTTTGTTCCGTCTGACAATGATCGTACTACATGACAGTTGAATGATTCTGGAAAATCAATTTGATCAATAGAAATAATGAATAAGGCATGTATTTGTGGGCCTTCTGAAACACGTTGCGCCATGTCTGCTGGAATGACAAGATTTGTCTAGCGTGGCCACAATCACTCTGGGTGTCCACGTGGTCACATGGCTGAGATCTGTACTCTGCTTTGACCTGTTTTAAACCGGATGACGGAGAGTGCAGCCATCACTGTGGGAAGAAAGTTATGATAACTGCATTGGTAAAATGTGTTGTCTTATCTGCTGAAAACACATTTTCTGTCACCTGTGCTTAATGCGTCTTTTGAACACAGCCAGGACACGGTGGCTCATACCATTCTGAATTTTATGTAACAACTAATGATTTACACACAGTTACATGCTACACAACCTTTGTTTCTGTACTGAGTGAGTGTTTGACTGTTGTTGATGTCAACAATGATGTTCATAGCCACTGTGGCCACGTGACCACACTCACCCCCAATTGCCCTGTCCCCCAATTTCACCCATTCTCATCTGGTACCATAAAAATGAAACATTTTCACACAGATAAGCTGCACTAACAAACAAGAGCACCAAAAAGCATGCAGTTGTGTTCTTGCAGCCCAACTCAGTTGTCAGCAGAATGGATGTCAGTGCAAAATACACTGAACTGAAACTGTAACAGCTAACAGCTGAGAAAACAATCCCTCTACTAAGCGTGAAGTAGGAGTGAAGTAAAACAGTGGAAGCCAGGAAGGCACAGACTGACAAAGGCACAGATTTTAAAACAGAGTGATCTGAGCAACATCAAGAACAAAATATGGTGGTATATGTATGTTTCTTCTTACCTTAGGAAGTTTACTGTGGATGAATTCCCAGTCATTCCACTGAAAGCAACGACAGCAGTGGTAGTTGCAGCCATAGTCATCTTACTGAAAAAAACAAAAAAGACAAAAACATGACCTACCTTAGGAAAAAATGCAGAAACCCAGGCGTGGACCATCCCTTTTGCTTTTCTATCCCACAACACAGAGACAGCTTAAATGTTTCTTGCAATGTTAAGATGTTGAATCCACATTGAATTATCAGGTTTGTTTCTTAATCATGGTGGAGAGAATACATATATGTCTAACAGTCCACTTGCTTTCTATGATTCAGCTAAATCAGTTTCTATGCATGGATTTTTGAGTATGTCCATGAAATAGTGGCTCCAAAAACTGTACCAGAGGTGAAGGTAAAGTGCCACACACGCGTCCAAATTCCACAGCAATCAGCTACATTATGATTTGAAAGACGCAAGAATGTATCAGTTCCTCATCAAATTCAGGGGCATGTCGCAATTTGTTCCCCCTATCTAACCACATCCCCAGGTTCTCAGAGATTTTAACTTCCTACCTGTCCCTACCTGTGCATAAGATGAAATAAGACTTTTTCACAGGAATTCCTCATTTATGTGCTCACCTGGTCACACTTCCCGTCAGTCCCTCAATATTACTGGCCCACTTTCTTTGTTGGTTAATCATCATATTATGTTGTTGCCTGTAACTTACCTGTTATCTGCCTGCCATATAAATTCTCTGCCTGTTGTCATATATAGTAAATCACTGAATTCACCCTGCTGCCTCCTCATATGTTTCATCTGGCATGCTGCCTGTACTCCAAATTGCTACAGGGTGTGGTGTGGTAATAAATGAAATCCATATGCCTCTCTGCATAGTTGATTATGTTATTCCCTCTTTTTATCACAACTTAATGACTCTGTAGAAGGGTGGTTAGCCTGTACAGTTGGCTACATTATAGTCTGTTACAACCGGCTCAGAGTCACAACACAATGAGGGACACAACACCGGGTTAAATGCAAAAAGGATAGAACATTTATTTACAAAAAGACAAAAAAAAGGGCAAAGCAAAAACACAAACAAATGCTGGAATCTTGTGCCAGGGAGTTGAGGGAGGGAGAGGGCGGAGAAAGGAGCCACTTACACCCAGCCATAGATATCATATACAGTAGCCTAGATAACTCGTTGACAGCTTAGGCCCGTTTCAGCGATGCGTCAACATCGTCGCCATCTTGGGGAGGTCACGGCCGGCTGGCTAGTACTGTTGTGTATGGAGACAAGTCTTCAGCAATCTTGCCATGCTCACTCAAAAGTCTCAAAGTGTAATTGGGTGCCGGTTCAGAAAATTACAGCAAAGCATAAAAACCGTTTCAGCTCATAGCTCCTCGTTAAATGGTTTGTGGGCGTGTGTCCCTTTTAACAGAAACCAGCTGGTTCAGATTAACATTAAAAACAATACAAATATGGAGCATTCATAAATGCAACTTCGGTGATACATCGAATAGTCTAAATATAATTAAAAAAAAATAGAATAATAGAAAATCTTGAAGCACAAAATATACCAGACACAACAGTAGTAGCCAGCCGCCTGTGACCTCCCCAAGATGGCGGCGACGTTGACGCATAGTAGCCACAGGAATGAGTCATCTATGATTATATGTCTATGGGCCCAGCCCACAACTTCGCGCAGGTGCCCTCAATCACTCCTTAGTGAACTGCACCTAGAACACAGAGACATAGAACAGACACACACACACACACACACACACATGCAAAACAATAACAGAACACAGAGTGACATGTAACACACATAACAAGTCTGTAACAAAATAGTCCACAGTTTGTGGGCATATTACAGTTTTGTGGTCAGATTAACAAATCTTTGAAGTTTTTTTCTTTTATTGCCAACAAAAAAGACACCGCACAGAGATTACAGATACACGTATAGCAGTGCAGCTCATGAAGGGTATTGCCGTATATCTTTTACTAGTACATGGCTATGTGTATTACTGGATTCTGCATGTGAAGACTCAGAAGAGTCAGATCACGGTGCACAGTAGCCACAGTGGAAGAAACCTTCAGATTGATTTGGCAACCTGTGAATGGTGTAGGTGGTTTACTTGTTTCAGTGTGTGTGTGTGTGTGTGTGTGTGTGTGTGTGTGTGTGTAAAAGTGATCACATGATGCGCAGAGCTGAGATCACACTTATTCTCAACCAGTGGGCCTCACAGCACCATTTAATGGGACAGGACGGTACTGCCAAATGGTTAAATAAATCTAAACTTACATTTTTGGGTAACTAAGAGCCCGGTCTCACTGCGAAGTCATCAAATCCAGTGATAGGGCAGTGACTTGTGGCATTAGAAACCAACGCAAAAAGACATTCTTTAATGTCAGCACTGTACGCGGCCGGTTGCTGTTATAGTTTAACGCCACCAGGCAGCATCAGGGGGAAACGCAGCGGGACAAGGACGAAAGTTAAGGTGGCAAATGTCCAAATGGGGTGGGCGGGAGAGAGTCTGAGAAAACGGTGTTCGCGTCTCGTAAGATTCTAAAGCCAAACGACATGTTTTTGTTGTTGAAGGAAAAAAAAGGTCAATTCACAGGATTGTACCTACATAGTGCATTTATTTTGAGAGAGACTGTATGTAAACCCTTTCCTGTGGAAACAGAAGTGTATCTTGAAAGAAGACAAAGCATGTAAAAGGCATAACCCAGAACGTCAACAACCAACGCACCTAGGGTACCTTGCATGTTGTATGTGGACGTGGAAAGTCCATGACCAAGCACATCAATATGTGACGAGGTCAGAGTGAGACTGTGATGGAATTTACAGGGCCAGCAATTTTTTAAATCTAAATCTGCTCAAGAATTCACATAAATTAAAATGCAAAATTAAAACGCATAATTTCAGACAACTGTGTTTTGCCACTGTTAGCTAGCTAAAATTTCCCCAGCTGCAGTGACATCTTGATCGCCACCTGGTGGTTGGCTGCAGTATAGGTTATAAACCCTGCCCCCTTCATGTCAGCAGATGCAACATGGGCCAAACTAAAAAATCAAAGTTCACATCAAGTAAGTTTTTTTAAAGGTGGTTTCTGTCATCTGACGTACTTCTTATCACGTCCTATGTATAATTGTTTATTTTTCTGATAAGTTTTGTTTTAATTACTTATTTGATGCTATAAAAACGTCATGTTTTACAGATGTGTGGACCAATTGATGTGCTTACAATCAATGGTACTGCAATTGGGAGGGAACCCCTATACCACCGAGATCTCCTCTACACAGACTCTGGCTCCAAATGATGCCCCCTGTGCAAGGTGGCGGCAGCTGTATCCAAGGTATTTTGGAAGTAGAGACGGGTTCCCCTTTTTTTTATACAGTCAATGACACACACTGGATCAGTTTTTGAAGCGAAAAAGTGATGTGGGAGACAACCAGACAAAACATAACATTTGAGATAATTTTGTCGTTACAGCTGATAGTGGCATAACACAGCACAGTTTATTATACTATGATTATATATAATTATATTTATTATATATAATATATTTATTCACTTTTAATTATTAATTGTTTTTTTTAATTATTATTTCACTTGTTGATTTAACAATCAATAATGGGCCTTAAGTACAAAAGGTTGAGAACCCCTGTGTGTACGATGGTTTTGAGCACATACACATGTTGAAGAACTGTCTGCTAAATGAGATTCAGTAGAGAAGATCATCTTGGATAAAAGTCTTTCTGATAGGCTGAGAAAGAATAAGATATAGGCCTACAGTAAGATAATCCCACTGCTGTCAGCACATTTTTTTTAGCTTTAGTTAGCAACTTGATGACAGCACTGCAGTTTCTGCACAGTTTCAGGCCACAGTAGTTACTTTGTGTAATTGCGATAGATGGTTGTCTCGGTACTGTTGGTTGTAAAATCTGCTGATGACCAGGATACCATCAATGCACCTTTTCTACAGAGCAATTTTGAACATAAATGTCCTCTTACGTGGACTCATATCTGGACAAGCATAGAGTGGAAAATGCGCTGAGACTGTAAGTGATATGAATCTAAAGTCTTAAAACCATCCAAATACTGAACACTCAACTGAAAGCACATCTTCCTTCTCTCTTATTGAGTTCTTTCAGCATAGTCATCACTGTGTCTTTAAAAGCCGTTAGGATCAAGCGTATAGCACTCCGTCCAAATCAGCTGAATTCAAAACGTGAATTCTGAGGTGTTAAAAAACTCATAACCACAACTGAACCTCTTAAAATAGCTGGACTAGGCTGCTTATGACCTCATGTCTAAAATGACTCAGAGCTGGAGTTAGGGTTAATGTTAATCAATTCATCTTATGAGCTTATTATTCCGTAACAATTATACAGATATGTCACATAAAGCATGTGCGTGTGAATAAATAAATAAATAAAAAAATAAATAAAACTTTACCTGCCAGTGACGTTAACAAGATAGCTGATAGTGGTGTGAATTCTGGATCACAAGATGCTGTGACGGACGGCCAGATCAAAGCTATTATCAGCTGTGCATGCAAGCTCATTATGTACTGTGCACCAGAAATGAAAAAATACTTCTCACACCTTTTCTTTCGTGGTGTGCACACCTATTAAAAATACTCCCATCCCCCTACCCACTGTGTAGGGGGCTTGCGGGTTTTCTTGTAAGAGATATATGGCTTGTAGCTTCCTGCGAATAGTTTCGAAACGCTCATGTAAGAACCCGCAGTTTTTTGCAGAAACACAGAACCACACCACACGTCCATTTATGCAAGTTTTAAATGTGAGTACACACAGCTGGAGACGTGCAGAGCATGCCTTGGCCTTTATGCTTGGCAGAAGTGATACTGCTGCCGGAACTGTCATTGCAGTCTAGACTGACGGCTATTTCAGCACGGTGTATAGGAAGCAAATAGTTTCTCTGTGTAGGGAAAAGTTCTGACTAATATCTAAAGCTCAAATTGAGATGTGATTTTTACAGATATTAAAATTTTCATGCATCATTTTTAATCAGTCAGTAGCTAAATTGCAAGCCTGTATGACTGGCTTGTTATTTGTTATATGACACAGGGATTCTGCCCTGTCACACTTCTCGTCAAATAATGTGACGCTGCTAAGAATGACATCCTGAAATGAATGCAACGGTGTGTCAAGATGCCACGCTTGTGACATTTCACACACATGCCAGAACAGCAGTTTAAACTTTCAGATCAATGGACTGAAAGTATTTTTCACAGAAAGAAGGAATCAATTTAGTTTAAAGTTCTTTATTTTCCTTTACAAAAACAATTCAATCAGGAGAGAGTCGTCCTGAGAGGAAAGAATATCTATTTACATGAGCACATAAGTGTGAGAAAAGTGAATGTCATCTGTTCCAGGAGGGTGGTAAAGACGTAGTAGATAAGAAATCTTCCCCTGTGGTGTCTAGATGCTGGTGGTGGTGATGAGATTAGATAAAGAGGGAAGTGAGGATCTGGATGTGAAGAGGAGTGGCCTTTTGATGAGCTAGTCCTGGGCTCTGGATAAGGTGACTGGAGGTGAAAGGGGTGGATGTGGGTGTGAGGAGTCTGCCTAAAATAGCAGCTGACAGGAGCAGAGGAAAGAACAGATTTAAAGTTTGGCAGCAGAGACATGAATGGCTGACAGAGATGGTGGCAAAGTTTGACTGGCTAACTGGAAAAGGGAACACTCATAGTCAGCTGATTGGTGTAAGTGGTGTAAGTGGGATAGAGAGATAATTGTGAGTGGATATGGCATAAAGAAAGTCTTTCTAATTGAACTTGTGCTGAGCTTCATTCGTTTTACAAGATACAGAAATACTTTGAATTACACAGTTTGAATAGATAGTTCATAAAATTGTATACACTTTCAATATGAGTATGATTTTACAGTTCTTGGAAGCACAACATCTCACATATGCCGTCTTTGTAGCAAGGTGTGTCATTCTTAATAATCTGATTTTACAGGAGTGTTGGAAGTATTGTCTGTGGTGTCTCTGTGGCTGAGAAACCCTCTGCTCCGGTGACCCCAGCAAAGCACTTTGCCCAGTGACTTCCTAAACTTCTCCCCTACAAATGCATAGATGATTGGATTTAAACAGCAATGAGAGAGAGCAATGATCTCAGCAAAGCCCATGGCAGAGTTAATGGCTTTTGAAGGCTCACAGGCGTTGAGTTTGTCCAGAAACATCTGCAATGTCTGAAGGAAAACTGTGACATTGTAGGGGACCCAGCACACCACAAACACACACACTATGGTGAATATCAGCTTTACAGCTCTGTCCTTTTTGGAGTTCCTGGACTTGGACAGCACGATAAGTATTTTCACATAGCAGAAAATCATGATGGGGAGGCACACGAAAAGGCCCACTGTGTTCTCGCTGAAGTTTCGCAGCATCTTCCAAAAGCGCTGCCTGTCCTCTGGGTACAGTGGCTGACACTGGGAGCTGTTGTCATCTGGATCTGTCTCCAAGGATGCAAATGTCACCCCAGGCAGAGCCATGGTGATAGATATAACCCAGATAGTGATGCTGGCTATGATTCCATATCGAAGTGTCCGGGCTCGCATGGCTGCGACAGCGTGGACGATGGCCAGGTAGCGGTCCACGCTCATGAGAGTCACAAACAAAGTGCCTCTGTAGAAACCCAACTGTTGAGAAGAGCAGAAAGGGAAACAAAGTCAGAATCAGGTTTTACTGGCCTCATTGAGGTTTGGCCGACATTTCACAGCAGCTGTTTGATGCGTCAACTGAGTACAGATTTCGTTACCACTCGGGAAAAAAATGATCTCACCTTGGTTATTGCCAAACTAAAACTGTCAAAGATTGTTGTACGACGTAGTTACACTGAGTTTACAGTAACATTTATTCAATTTTGCTCTTTGCAAGAAATACAGATTATTGGCAATAATATCCCACAGAGTAAAAAAAGAGAGAATGACTCAGACACTCCACCTTTACATAGCGTACTAATACCTCAGATGCGGTGTTGGTGTTAAAAAGTGAGTGCGCTCAGCCTGATCATAAATTTCTCACCTTTTCACCACTGCGGGGAGTGGAGAATAAAATTGGGTTTTAGCTATATTTATGTACAATGCACCAGATTTATAAAATTTAGGTTTACTATATGCAGTCCATGTAAAATAAACTTGTAGAAAAAAAGAATAAAAAGAAAAAATGCCTCTCTTATATTCAAATTTTTCTAAAAAGTCATAATGTTAATGAAGTAAGACATGTTTTAATACCTAATTAGTTATCTGCTTTCCAAATAATAAGTACCAGTAACAAGTCTATTCCATTTCATTTTGTGTTTTAAGCAGAGGTGGGACCAAGTCACACCTAAGTCTCAAGTCTTTGCACTGAAATCCTAAGTCCCAAGTCAAGACTGACAAGTCCCAAGTCAAGCCCTAAGTCCGAACCTTTAAGCTTTGAGTACTAAACAAGTCATAATGCACTCTTCACTTAATGTAATGTCATTTTAGTAACAGAGTTATACATTACATTTACAAAAATCTTGAATTCTTCTTAAAATTTGTATCTATTTACAAAACAAGTTTGTTGGAAGTTGTTGTGTCTCTGTCTATAATTTTTGTCCTGCATGTTTTACTTTCAGCAATTCATCGTTTTTTGACCACTGCCTAGTTTTTATGCGCAAATCAATTGCAAGTCTTTTTTGATTTTGTCAAGTTAAGCCTTGTTACACCCGCAAACGTAATAACAGCCCACAAACGTAATAAACCACAAACGTAATACAAATCTGCAGCTTTGAATGTAATAATCCCGCAAATGTAATAAATTTCCCACAAACGTAATAGCAGCTGCCTACTACAAACGTAACACACAATTTTCCGCAAATGTAATAACTATTACATTTGCAGGAAATTATTACATATGTGGGAAGGTGAAAATCTAAACTGTAATAACTTCCCACAAATGTAATATGAGACTGAATAATGATCTTTGTGGTTGTTGTTGTTTGTTTGTTTACTTATACACCTGCCAATAGTGATGCGTGTGTTGACAAGCAACCCGGGTGGGGCGGGTCAGAAAGTGACAGAGCAGCGTTCTGAGTAAGTTAGAAATAACTTACAGAAACACACACATACACACACACACACACACACACACACTGGTCATTCCTTGTCAGTTCACAGAATTACTCTGTGGCAGCAAATATGTTGTTTAATTGGATTTATTTTATTTTATTCTGCCTCTTGTTGATTTCTCTGCAGCATCTGGCCTACAGTACCTGTTCAGCACCTCAGACAGCAGCGCTGCGGGATGGGTTGGCTCTCATAGGGGGTCAGGTGCAGGTTGTAAGGTTTTAAAAACCATGGTTTACAATAACTTAATCCTCCTCCACTCAAAAATGTGTTTTCTTCTCGTTCCTACAGATGAATGTTTGAGCCTCACTGTGCAGAATGATGTATGTACAGAGCTTGACACTCAAAGGCTGTTTTCACATTTATCTGATGAAAATGCTCATATGATTTTAAGGGCTACGGCTACGAGCCTATGTTGGTGGCTTATGTAGCCTATGTTTGAACCATTTAATTAAAATATGTCTGCATATCAAAAGCCAAAAACTTGAATATGTCATTCATTCTTTGAAGTAATGAAAACATTTTTCAAGATTTAAGACTGGTCCGTGTACATTTTGATAGTGACATGGACCAAGACAGCTCTGTTTGTGGGCGTACATGTGTGTTCGAGTTATATTATTGTATGTGTGATTTTGTATATGTGTGTATATGGGGAAGAAAAAATTAAAAGAAAAATAATAATAATAGAAATAATAATATTGATTAAAATAATTGTGATTATCATCACAATTAAGTTATCTTTTTTTTGATGAAAATAAATGATAATTTAATCATTAAAGATTCCTTAAAGACATGTTCTGACGTATATAAATGTTTCTCTTTGAATAATAATGTTATAGTTTTTCCACAAAAAATTCGATTATCTTGTTAAAATCCTTAAAATGACATCTACACCTTCTCCCTCTTTAAAAATGCTAGAATCTATCAATATGCCAATTGTATTCTTCATCCCAAAGGTTTCACTGTTAAGTCCATTCTCAGTGTATGTGCACTGGAGGCTTCAAGTTTCCACATCACACCTGTGTAAGTTGAACATTGGACCATGACTGGCTTCTAAAATATTTGTGATGTCACAAATCATGCTTGTAGCCCTTCCAAAGAATGAACGACATATTCAAGTTTTTGGCTTTTGATATGCAGACATATTTTAATTAAATGGTTCAAACATAGGCTACATAAGCCACCAACATAGGCTTGTAGCCCTAGCCCTTAAAGGGATAGTCCGGGTTTTTGGACATGAAGTTGTGTGAAACGCTGACCATCTGTAGCTCTGATGTGACGGTGTCACTACTGTCAACGAGCCTCCTGCTCTGAGAAATCGCCCTGTAGCTTACCGGAGAAAAGTAGTTCTGAAGATGTACGGGGGACACGTAACCAAAAGGTTTTAAGCTACAAAAAAGTATGCGTGTGTTTTGTTAGACTATTTCAATAATTTTAAAACATCCCCGCATTACGTCAGACCTTGCTATCAATTGGGACTATTTTCTGGCCAGTATCACTCCGCCGTGCAGGCCTGCAGGACAGCACGCAAACAGAAATCAACTAGACAGTTCATCACCACGCCGTGCAGGTGCGCAGGATAGCAACGGCTAACGAAAACTTCATCGGCTGTTTCCAACAGAGAACCAGTAGGCTATTATTAGTGAGGAAAAAGATGTACTAGCCCTATATATACCTACTACTACAGCGCGAACACCGGCTCAGGCTCACGACACACCCTCGTCAGCTGCTGTAGGTAAACAGAGGAATACCAAAATGGTGCGAACTTGTGATTTCCCCAGCTGTGGGAATAAAAACATTGCTGGCTCCCAATTCCATTGGTTTCCTGTTACAGATGTAACCCGCAAGTCATGTGACTCATGTCCACACCTCTGGTTCTAAGTAATAAAAAAAGATTTAGGAAATTAAACCCCACCTGATAGACTCCTGTCATCAGTTTGCACGAGGCAAGGTTCTGGATATTGTGGGCCCAGAGGGGCAGAGACACAGCCAGGATGAGGTCTGACAGGGCCAAGTTAAGGAGGCAAACATCCGTCATCGTCTTCAGCTTTATGTGTCGCAGCAGAATCCAGAGAACTGTGCTGTTGCCTGCGAAATCCATTCAAGTTATTAGTCATTACTGAAGGTTTCTTATTGTCTCTGGTGACAAACTGTAAAAGATACTGGTTGCATGCATCAGTTTCAGCTAAACGCCTAAAATGCAAATGTGTATTAAAATGTGTGAAGACAGTGATACATGTTTCCTTTGCTTTATAAGATGTAGGTGTTTGAACATACCAAGCAGACTGAGACAAAACAGCACGTAGTACAGAACCGGCAAGACCAAGGACCCATCGGGCAGCTCTGGACCGGGATCCTGATCGCAGGTGTCATTGTAATCATAGTCCAGGTACATGAATGTCTCGTTCTCTGATATGTTCATACTGCTGTGTGAGGAGAAAAGGAACACAAACAGATATCTTTAGATAAACACATTATGAGATGGGAGGTATTGAATCACACCTGGTACAAAACCACACAAAGTACATATGACGCATGAAACCACTGTGGATCTTGATTCAAAGAGAGAACAAGTGCAGGTGTTGCTGTGACTCTGTGGCATTATACTATTAACAAACAATTCAGTAAATATCAGAATAAACATCAGTGAAATCACTCTGAGTCAAACAATGAAAACAAATCATATGACACAAGTCAAATTAAGAATGAATATTACACTTAAAAGTTCCCCATATGCTACAACTTGACCTTTTTTTTCTAATGTATTATTGCCTACTTTATTTATTTATTTATTGGCTTTTTGCCTTTATCGGATAGGACAGTTTAAGCATGAAAGGGGGGACAGAGAGAGAGGGACATGACATGCAGCAAAGAGCCACAGGTCAGAATTGAACTGGTGGCCGCCGTGGGGAGGACATTGCCTTTGCTCATGGGGGACCCCCTTCACCCTCTAAGCCACCAGGCACCCTTATTGCCTACTTTTATTTTTCCTAACCCCCTGACATCCTCTAACCGATATGAACAAGTACAAATATTGGTGTTAAACCAAGGCAACCACAAGTCCACAACACTAGCTCCAGTCTGGTCGACATGAGTTCCCTTTAAGTGACAAAATTTGTATTGGAGACACACATTAAAAAAAAAAAAAAAAAAAGATAAACTATGTTGGGCATTGAGTTGTGGTTGGACGACTTTGTCCGTCAAAAGAAACGCCCAATCTGCTAATCCCGTCGTTCACCTTCCTTGGGGCCTTCAGACTACTGTCTACCAGACATCATAGACTAAAAAGAAAACTAAAAGATTTTCAGGTAGATAGTGTGACCATCTTGGACATTAGCAGGTATTGATCCAAATAAAATCTGCTGCTTGTTGTCTTAGAGTCAGTTTCCGATCTTACTGAATTCCTCATTTAATATTAAATTTGTGTCTTCTCACTCACATGTAAAGTCAAAATGGACGAATCATTCAATTAAAAAAGCTAAATTTACCACAACTTACCATTAACAATGAGATCCTTTGAGTCCTGGATCTGTTTTCCTCATTTGCTCCAAAATCTCTTAAAAGATAAGTTTTTCCTTTTTGTTAAGCTAGATTCAGTGTTCCACCATCATGATGACTAAACTCCATTTGTTCCACACTGAACATTTTGTACAGATAAAAGCTTAAAAAAAAAATAAATTATCAGGAAAAAACAACACTATGTGTGAATTTGAGGGAATTCAGAGATGTTGCTGGACTTTCCTGCCCTTTAAGTTAAACTTTTCAAATGCAGTCATCACTTGGTGAGTCATGTCTGAAAGGCGTCTGTAACAAAATTCAACTGTTGCTATCAAACCTTAAAATACGTTTTCTAAATCTGAAAGAAAGCTATAGAAATAAGAATAATTTTGGCGTTCATTATAGGTGATGATAACTTCACACTATTGGTTTTCTCCCTTTGAATGTGTGTCAGGGTCATAATGTTATCAAAAACCATCTCCAGTCGGGATGTGGGGTTGATCTGTCTATGAATATCACAAACTACCTCCTACTCTGACCATAATCAAATTTATGTCATCTCTTTTAAACCACATCGCAGACCTATTTTCCTCACTGTCGACATACACAGAACCACTGGCTTTGACACCCATGCCGACCCTCACTTCCTGTGGCTGATGTTCACACACACACACACACACACACACAGAAACGTGTGCAACCATAATCCTCTACTACACCCTGTGTTTTTATGTGTGGGAAGTGAGAGAGGTAAAGGAGGTCTAGTAAACATTTAAAAATTAAAATGTTATTGTGCTTACCGCGTCGTCTGCCAAAATCACTGCTCTGGAATATGTATGCTCTTGTGCTGCGCACCAAGCTTACATGTCATCCTGTCAACTTGCATTGCTCGCTTTTTGTGTCAAATCCTGCTGCAGAGCTCATTTCTGGTAAGGTGAACTCTTGGTTTTGTTGTTTCCTCCGCATCGTGTTAACACGACACAGAGGTGTCAGTGTGGTTTTCTGAGAAATGTCCCTTCAAGTGTTAACATGCTGCAAGGAACGAGTAGGGGGAAAAACGTATTCTAATGAGGAGCTTTTCTCTGTTCCTTTGTTTTTTCAAACACATTTCTTGGGTGATATAATCTTTTGACACAAGCATGCGGCTCAGCAGGAATCACAGAAGGTTTCCTTAAGTTTTGATTTAAATTTTCAATACTTTTGTGGACTTTTATTTCAGAATAGGCCAGACCCAAATCTTTAAATATGATGTAACAAGTGAATTGTATATCTAAATCAACTTAAAGATCCACTTAATTCATTCATGGTATTCCTATAGTCTAAGACAGTCCAAAATATTAGTGAACAAGAACAAGTCTCTCTCAAATCCCAAAACTAGAGTGATAAAACTCAAATTTGTGATGTCATAGGGTATAAAGTCTGAAGCTGCTCCATTGGCAGTGATTTGTTAAAGATGTTCTAGCTGACACTGAGAGCACCCAGGGGAATGTTCTGAGAATAGGGGTATATTTGAACACTGATGAGTGTTCACAACTGACAACACTACAATAGAATAAAGCTCATTTGACTATGAACAGAAGATAAAAGGGCCCACAAAATCAGTCTCCCATTCATTGTCTATGAAGCAGCTCCACACTTTATACTTGATGACATCACAAGTTTGAGACTTCCGTCTCTGGTGTCTGGCTTTGAGAGACAGTAGCTCATGTACACACATTTTGATTGAACTTTCCCAGGCCATGGAACTGAAGCCGTTATTTATGCTGTCTTCAAAGCCACAAAACTCCTTTGAGAAAAACAACATTTTTTTAGCTTCATTTTTAGAACACAGAAGTTTCTGTTCTACTGCAGCTGTGATCAGTTAGTTTGTCTGTGTTTCTTTGTGACTTTGGTGTTTTAAAGAGTTCGTTCAGATTCACCAAAGTCAAAAATCAAATCTGCATTACCCCTTTAAAGTTATAGTAAGAAAACGTTTCTGGCTTTGAGAGACAGTAACTCATGTTCTTGTTCATGTTCACAAATGAATATTGATTGTACTTTCCCAGGCCATGGAACTGAAGCCGTTATTTATGCTGTCTTCAAACTACCAAACTCCTTTGAGAAAACCAGCAATTTTACCTTGCAGAACACAGGAGTTGCTGTTGTGATCAGTTAATCTGTCTGTGTTTCTATGTGACTTTGGTGTTTTAAAGAGCAAGTTCAAAGTCACCAAAGTCAAACAATAACACAACCGATCGAGGCAGCTGGTAGAGTTACCTCATACAATTCCATTTAAAAGAAATCTGAACAATCCCTTTAAAGTTACAGTAAGAAAAAGTTACTAGTGTTTACTGCATGAACAATGTACAATGTAGGGCAGGTACTCTTCAACACAAAAGCTGCAATGTGCAGGTAGTTTAAATGTCATCATAAGATCAGTCAACACAGACAACTTGAAGAACTCAAGGTGTGATGCATAACATGACTTTTATCTTAATGAGCACAGGTTGTGTGGATTTCAGTTCTTATAGAAAAGCACAATATAGCATATAATTGTTTGGTACTCTTATAGAGAGACTTTAATAATCATCAAACTAAACCACTACAACAACAATCCATAACATGATTATAAACAGAAAGGCTTAAACAAGAGCATAAATCTGACATATGTGAATAAATGCATGAAAATATGTGGATTTTGTACAAGTAACATCTGAAATGGCAGTAAAAAAAACAAGACAAAAAAAGAATATATTCAGTATGAAAACAGAAGAAATAAATTTGCAATATACTGTACATTAGTACAAATGTGAGGCATAAAACACTATCAAGAAAATATATGACAAATTACAGATGTTTACGATGAGCCAAACTTTGATTAATAATGACGTCTGAATGTGCAAAAGGTGACAGATAAGCCCGTGTTTTCAGCTTTGTGGCTTTCATTCATCATCCAACATTTGAATGAAACACTTTTTCCACAGGAAATTAAGAAAAACAATTCCATGTTGTAAGAGTATTTGGTTTCATCATAAATGATAACTTTTCCATACAGTGTGAATGTTGTTGTTTTTTTAACTTGCAGGCTTATTAACTCATGTGTGAAAGTTTTAAACACCTCAAGCACGCATAAACAAACTTTGTGGTTTCAGGCCGTTACAAACAAGAGGCTCATCGTTTCAGTCAGTGTTCAGCAGGAAAAGGAGGAGCCTTGCAAAGCATTTAGCAAATATCTGAGATCAGACAGTAGATGGTGTTGCTTGATTTGCATTGCATTTACACTTGACTGGATTACACATCTGACATCTTATGGTCAAAACTAGGGCTGCATGATATCAGGAAAAATATGTGATATGTAATAGCATTGTTGAATATCCTGGTAACAATATTATATGCGATAAATACACAGATATTAAGGACCAGTGTGTAGGATTTAGGGGCATCTATGGGCAGAAATGGTATATAATATTCCTAACTATGTTTTCATTAGTTGATAATCACTTGACAATAAGAATTGTTGTGTTTTTGTTACCTTAGAATGAGCCGTTTATTTCTACATATGAAGCAGCTCCTCTGCCAGAGTCTGCCATGTTCTACAGTAGCCCAAAACAGACAAATCAAACACGGGCTCTAGTTAGGGCCATTCTTGTTTGCACATTTTCACATCCGCCACTGTAATTTGGCATGCATGCTTGGCACACACAGTTTCAGTTCTTCAACCTCGCTGCAGATGACATACTGGACCTTTAAAGTGTGCTCAATTCTTGACTTGGACAGCAGCTGTGCTTGTGTATCGTCATCTCTCCTGTATCTAAAATATTGCCGGACGTGCTGTTTTGTGGGTACCAGCTCATCTCTGGCATTTGCATTTGTGTCCGCACTCAACTTTGGCATGCACATGGATTATAACTAATCAGAAGATGCCTAACAGGGAGGGCTCTGTCTGATTGGCCAGAGAGTTAACAGCATGGCCATATATTAGACAAAACTGGGACTGCAGACAGACTGTAATTTAAAACATTACTTTATTAAAAGTCAAATATTTTGCAATGTGTTTATCATCCAATATCAAAAGAGGAAAACAATATATTGTGCAGCCCTTGTCAAAACAAATATTTTAGTGCAAATTCAAAGTGCAAATAAAACTAAAAGAGTCTCAAGTCTAAGGTGTAAATAATATATAACTACAGGCAGCCTTCAGGCAGCTTTTTAAGATTATGTGTTGAATAAGGCTGACAAAAGAAATCACGCAGCATGAACAATTATAATATCGTTAGCAGTAGCAGCAGTAGCCTAATAACAAGGTCACATGGATAAAAACGTGTCAGCTCAGCAGGTGATGTCCATAAAGCACAACATATACAACATAATCTGCCCTCCACCTCCTACATGATGAAAGTGGAGGTGGCATCAGAGGACCTGGAAACAACTGAGCTTTTCCTGTATGAGCTGTCTGAGAAATCTCTGGGGAAGGTGAAGTTAATCCCAGGCACCCATTTCCTCAACAGCTGAAGGGCTCGTTTCATGAACTTCTGTCCCACAAAGGCATATATGATGGGGTTCAGGCAGCAGTGGGTATAAGCAAACGTCTCAGTCACTATGGCTGACAGCCTTAAATGCCCTTCCATGTTGCAGCTGCTCTGCAATACACCCTCAGATTTCAGGAACCCCAAGAAAAGAATGATGTTATATGGGGCCCAGAATAAGAAAAAGGTGACAACTATGGTGATGATCAGCTTGACAATACGGTGCTTCTTTGCACTCCTGATGTTCACCAGTATGGGGATGATTCTGGCGTAGCAGACGACCATCACCAACAAGGGGATCATGAGACCCAACACATTTATTGAGAAGATGTTATAGATCTTCCAGGAGTCATTTTCAGGGACGTAGCTACAAGCCAGCCTGTGAGACTCATTTGTCACCTTTGTGTAGATGATATCCGGCAAAGAGACGCACAAGCTCAGCATCCAGACCAGCAAGCTCACAGCAACTCCTGCTCTCAGAGTGCGATAACGCGCCATTGAGCGAGCGTGCAGGATGACCACGTAACGGTCCAGCGTCATGACAACCATGAAGAAGATGCTGCTGAAGAAGCCAGTTTTGTGGGAGCCGGTGGCAAAACGGCACATGAAGTCTCCGAAAGTCCACTGACCTACCACAGAGTAGTGAGAGTAGAAAGGCAGCGTGAGGACGAAGAGGAGGTCGGAGATGGCCAGGTTAAAGAGGCAGATGTCTGTCAGGTTGGTCTGGTTGCGGTAATACACCAGGACGCACACCACTAGGCCATTGCCTTAAGAGGAGAAGGGACAAATGTTAAATGTGTGTGATTATTAGGGTGAAACCAGGTAAGTTGAGACACTTTTGTGTCTTAGAACTTGTTTTGCATCTCTGCTATATTGCTATAAAGAAAATATGTTGCCAGGTAAAATGTTTTAGAAACTCTGGACCCTCAAACACATCAAGAACCTGTACCTCACTCCATTGACAGCTGGTAATGTAAGATGGGACAGTCGTGTTTTTGTTTTTTAAATGATTACTTCCATTTATCAGCTCAGCCATTAATCCATTAAATCATTAACATAGCCTAAATATTCATCAAAAAAGACCATCAGATTCCATGCTTCCCTGTTCTTTTGTTGCTTGTTTCCATGGTGCCAAATTGTCTACAGTGAACATGCATATGTGTGCTTGTTGTAGCACACATATGCATGTGTGCTTGTTGTAGCCGACACTGACTCACCATCTTTAATATTTTTAAGTGACAAAATACTAAAAAATGTCTGTAATATGACAGAATGGCACACAGTAGCATAAGTCATGATTTTATGGCACCTGGTAGCCTAAAAACATGCTGGTCTCACTTCAGAAACGTGTCCCATTTTAGCTTCATTTTTAGTCCCATTTTACCTGAATGCAGTAAGTACTCACTCAAAACCCTGTCCCATTAAAAAAGTAAAGTGTGTTATGTGTTCGATTATAATTCAAACAGTTCCTAGTTTCTACAACTATTTTTGTTGTTATACCCTTTTCATTTAGCTGCAACACTCTCAGAAAGAGAAACAATGTCACATGGCTCACTTTTTAAAAAAATCCTTGCTCTGCTCAGTATCTCAGACCAATAACAATGATTGTTTCATGTAAAGGGCATTCGCAGCAACTATGCAATAACATGTTTGGTGATTGGCTGCTAATAACTGAAGAGCCCAATATGTTAAACCAGTGATACTCAACTTGTGGCCTGTGTTGAATTTAAATTAATTCACACTGGGACTCCTTTTTGTACTTTGTAAATAAGGTGCCATTGTGCATTCAAAACGATTTGAGTATCCCTGTGTTAAACCTTATTTGTCCCTTATTTGTCCCGTTTGACCTCATGTCCCATTTCACCTGACTTCATCCTGTGCATCAGAAGTAATCTAGTCCAAATGGTCTCACTGACTGTGTCTCTGTCTCTCTCTCTCAAACACACACACACACTCACATGCACACACACATACCTAAGAAGCCAGTGATGAAAACCAAGCTGTAGAGAGTGGGCAGAAACACTTTGCCAAAATTTTTCAAATCAGCAATGTTGCAAGGAGTGAAGTCTGGAGGAAGTCCGTCATAATAGCCTGAATAATCATAGGACTGTTGGGTGGTGGTATTTTCTCCATCATCTGCAAATAGAAAAATTATTTTAATTTCGACATTTACAACATTTTCCCCTCATTTTACTTTTAATTCCTGTACATTAGGATATAGTATATAAAAGTACATGGCCAGGTTGCATGTAAACACATGCAATTAATGGAGGTGAAGAGAAGAAAAAATAATCTGCTACTAAATCATCTCAGCTGTTTTAGGGACTTCTTTGGCAGACACAAGTTCCAATGAAGGCTGTTCACACTGAGGTTTATGATTATTCATTTATCAGAGATAAATGTCATTTTTCAAAGCTGTGAGCACCACAAAGGCAATCCCACTGAACTCCACTGTGATTGTGAAAAGGCAAAAATCTTAGAGTTGGAGATCTAAAAACACAATAAATACAAAAAAGAATAAATAAAAAATAAAAATTAATAAAATCAAAGTAACTAAATCAATCTGCAAACAAAACCCTAAAAGATCTGCACAGATTGTCACCACTGAGGAAAAAAGTATGATCATTTGTAATTTGGGTGATTAAACCCTCAAAGTAAACTGATAATGGAGGTTAGTATGCCCCCTGCTGGTCTTTACAGGTAACTCACTCCGCTGTTGGAAATATTTGTCACACCTGCACATTCATCTATGTTTCAAAGGTTTGACAAAATGTCAACAGTGTATGAAAAATTGTATGTATATCACCAGTGCAAACACTGATGTAAAGTGCTCATATGAGGTTGCATGCCTCATAAATTACTTGCTGTGTACTGTCCATCGTAATAGTTGTGTTCCACATAATTATATATATTTATTTTATTGTATTGAAATGCTAATTAGGTAACTTCGGATTTAATATTTTTGTACATTGTTATTTTGTTGATTTTAGTTGGAAGGCTACATGTTAACAGGCGATATGTTTGATGAACACAAATGGTAGCTTATAAAGACCAGTTTTTAAAAGACCCTTCAATAACATTTCATGCTTAGCAAACAATTTTAACATAATAAAATAAAACAATTTCAGAACTATGTTTACTAAAGATTCAAATATAAATCTAAAGAAATGATAAAATTTGCTCATTACAGCATTTAAATTAAAATGGACGTACAGCTGACAGCAGCATATCGAGCAACCATCACAAATTATCGCACAAATATTTCTTCAACAAGTCAAAAACACATTTATCTATACATAGATTCTCCAAAACATGTACAGCTGTTAAAATGCATTCACCTGACATGGTGATATCTCAGTGAGGCCTCTTCCTTTCAGGTAAAGTCAGCGGCTGCACTTCAGGACTCCTTATTTCTCTGGCCAGATCTTGATGGACACGATGAGCAGTGATGAACAAACTGTCTTCAAGTCACTAGTCCCCTATTAATGAGTGCCACAGAAACAGAAGTGCAGCTGTCACTTCCTGCACGTCCCTCAGTGTAACTGTGAGATCCTTATCAGCAGCCTACACTTCACAACCTTTGCCTGAAATGTTGACAAAATAACTTCATAGGTTAACACATCAAAACAAAACACTAACTTGTGGCCTTAAGTATGTGAGAGTTTCACATCTACATACAGATTATATCTTAAGGGCTCCAACAATATCTTTTTACAACATAGATTCACATAGGGCCTATAAAGTGAAGAGTTTGAGCAGAGCAGTCGATGAAAAGTGAGCATGAAAGTGTGCAGATATAAAGCTATGTTTTTACTCCTTTGTGATGTAAACAAATCTTAATACAAGCAATGATAATATAAATGTAGTCATAATCCAGTACCATCATAAAAGCATCTGATCATCAGTTAAGGGGTGATGGCAATTTTTTCAGTCAAATTTAGTGACAGGGCAACTCTTTGTGTGCGATCTTTGCATCACAGATTGCTGCTTTAATTAAGTGGAATATTAGTGTAATGTGTTTGCTTAGAGATTGCTTTTTTAAAGTTAGTTTAAAGTATTAGAACAAAAAATTAACAATATTACAATTACACACTCTTTTCAAAAGGCAATTGGTGTCTGCCTCAAAAAGTTGTTTCAGATCTGATGCTGATGCTGTGAGACTGTGTCCTATGTTCAGCTACATGCACTGTTTTCAGTTCCCTCTTCCTCTTATCCTCTTCCTCCTATCTTCCTCTTATTAATAACGTCATCTTTCTAGTAATGCTTTTTCACACCGGACTCAAATATCTAATCGTATGTACAGCACCCTAGCAAATGGGTTTGCAGCGTTTGAAGTGAAGTTGGGTGGTCTGTGAGTGCCCTCTTGTGGTAGACAGTTATACAGAATTATACAGAGGAGGTGTTGCATGGGGGGGCAAGATGCCACAAAGCATGCCGGGAAACATGCCGGGAGAAAAGATTTGAATTCTCATCACTGAATTTCAGTGAGACAGTATGCACAGACACTTTTCCGAATTACTACTCAAACTCAATGTACAACAACAAGAGCAGCCATGATACTATTAATAATGAGAGCGGTACTATTATTAAACAATAATAAGAAAAAGAAATATAGAAATAATAATGATAATAATTATTATTCAAATAAGAATAACATTAGGCTGATAGGTCTACTACTACACCTAATAATTAACAACAACAATATCAACATAGATGTGTATCACTGTCTGATCGGCACTGAAGCCTAGTTTTATTGACTTTTATTTGTATGTATCTCTGTACATTGGTGCCGTCGCTCTCCAGCTGGCGCTCAGTGAATTCCCAATGAGGATGATTGACGTTAGATCTGCTGACGAAGGCGGGCTGGAGGGAGCTGCGTCAAGTTAGACAGACGCAGCGGCAATAGACGGGACACCATGGAGCACTGCCTTCCAAATAAAAGAGCTAACCCTCTCAGCTGGCATTATAGATACGGTCAGACAGCCTGACTGCATTCTTTGCACGTTATGTATAATCAGTTGTAAAAATAAATTGAATAAACATATACATATGTGGTATAAAGGCTTGTCAAATACATAAAAAGGGGCGGGAATGGAAACAAAATCCTTAGGTAGCGACAATTAACTTTATGAACTCTTATTTTGAAACGTCAAACCGGAAGTTCAAATTAATTCAGTTGCCTTGACGGTGCTCGAGGGAAAATCAGCCGGGGGGACTACGAAGATTATATCAAGTGGATTTGACAAGTAACTGAGTCAATGATAATGGAGCAGTGAGGCCGCTTTGACTAAAGTAAGTTCGACTTAAAAAAAATACAGAACATTTATGGTTTCTTTTTGTCGTAGGTTGCGTTCACGGACACTTTGCGGTCTTTGTACTTCAGGTCACACCGGACTGTCATCTCTGCGCACTGTCACTTGTTGGACCTGTAACAGAAAACACAAAGTTGTTCCTGTCTTACCACAAAAAACAAGCGGTTGTGTTGGTTAAGATATGCTGGAAATCCCGATAATTAGTATTAATTAATTTAATGTTGGTGTGCTAACTCGCAGGTGATAGTGTAATGGATAACAACCGAGTTTAAGAGCAACAGCGGATTTTGGGAGCCCAGCTCGAGCGCCGCTATCATCATCTGAAGTTAGATATCGGAATCACTGCAATGACTGAGTCCTCAAAGCCGCCTTCAGGGTAAGTCTTCAAAAATAAATACCAACTAATAAAAATGATTGAACATTTATAGTCTTCTTTTGACCGTTTGCATATCTTCACACTAACTTTGTCGATAATTAATCCAATTTCAGCTTGGAAAAAAACGTAATGGGCTTGCTACAAAAATGCGTTGTGTGTTGCCTGTAATATTTCTAGGACACATATATGCTTATATTTTTGGTTGTGTGTAGCCTAATTGTTAGAGTTGCCATTAATATGTGTTTTTCTTATTTGACTTGGACTTATTTGACTTATCAGAGCTGGAGTTACAGCCACATGACCAACACTTAAAAAGCATTTGTAACCTATAGTGAGTCCTGACAACACAGAGAGTGTTCCAGCAGCCAGACCAGCCTGCTCTCCTTTTGCTTACTGTCTCTCTGCCACTCACAGACAATAAGTATGACCAGCTCTGGGGCAAAAGCACAGTGCAGCAGTGTGGTTGGTTGCTAGTGGAGAGAAACTAGCTGGTGGAACAAAAACAGCAACAACAACTGTAGGTGCAGTCCACAATGTGCTTTTAATTGTGTTGTTTGGGGCGTGGCTGGAGCTTGTATCTCTTTCCTTTAATCACAACATGAGCTGTGGGGGCTTTATGGTACAGTGGTGATGTTTTGCCCATCAATCCTACTTTTTATTACATGCTGTCGACTGTTGAGATCACTGTCCATAAAGTACTACTCATTCATTGCAGTTGTATGTTGGAGGTAAAAAGCTCTTGGCCTTTCAAATGTCATTGTGATAGGACAAATAGATGTGAGGTTTTTGTTAATTATGAGTAAGGTATGTGTTAATATATCTCCATACCTTCTTGACATTTCACTGGGTTAATTTGTATATGATTGTATGTTTTTGTAAAAAACAAAACAAACAAAAAATAACAACTTTAAAATGTCATTGTCAAGCCTTCAATTAGTCTACTTAGACAGGTTTTGCTGGTTTAAATAGAAAAATGAATAGATAGGAAATAAGTGCCCTTCCTGCTGTTGAATGACCCACTTGTTTACACATCAGTGGGCTAAACGGGGATGATCTGTTGATGATCTGTCCTTATAAAATCTTATAGCAAGTAAACTACTTCTGTAGTTGGAAGACGTAATTGCTAGATAAAGTTGTATGTAGCGGTATTCCCAAACAGGGCCAGAGGCGTTTATCCTTTTTTAATAGTCCTGTAAAATTATCCCTACCACTCAAAGTCGCAATCTTTCTTAGCTCAGCTGCCTGTTCCACCAGTAGAGACTGACCTCTGAATAAGTATGCTGTCAACTACATTGTTTCAGTACAGCGTCTCTGTATCAGTTTAATAGAAAGAGGAACATCTGTATTGCAAATCATACCTTTAAGCTTTCTAAATGCCCATATGCTGTAATGCTTTCATACCACCCAAACCTAATTTCTCATTTATAGGAGGGTATCAGATAAAATATGTCACTATAGTTATAGTCTCAATTTGTTATTACTTTTGGTTTTGACTGGGTTATCTGGAATTTTTTAATAGTAGTCTTTGTGAGTAACTCACTGACCAGGTATGATCCCACATTAGCATAATTATGTGCTATTGAGTGCTACTTATAGAAAATAGCTGTGTACTGTAGAGCTAAATGTTGCTGACTTCATCATTTCTTAAGTCAGCCTTGTAATTATTGTTTAAAGATGGGGTTTATGTGTGTCCTGCTGTCATTTTAGAGGATTCACACCCTTATCTATCATGCATTAACTCTTCCATCTATACTACAGGTGTGTGGTAAAGGCTCAGCAGCAGTGTATAAACTGTAAAACACAGGTGTTGTTCAGTGGCAACCTGAGTAGGGTGTGATACTGCTAGAAAGAGTGTTGATGATTTGAATTAAGGTTTGGCCTATTTCTCCTCTGATCTTTCAAGTAAAGGTCCCTTTAACCAGATACTCTTAAATACAGTCATTTCAGACACTTAAGAGCTTTTTGGCCAAATTACAAAGTAGACTGGTCACAGAATCAGCTGGCAGTGGACCTGAAATGCCTTTTCATCCGGTCAGTGTGTGACATTTCTCTCCTTATAAATTACCATGGCAACTCCCTTTGTGTTGGGATCTGTCTTCCGTCATCACACAGGGAGTAGCTACTTTACTACATAGCCTACTCCTAATGAACACAGCTCATAAACACTACACGCACACACTCACGCTCACACACACATGCAGTTAACACACACACACACACACACACACACACACACACACACACACAGAGCGGTCACTAGCAGACAGAGGAGGAGGGAAGAGACTGCTCTTTTGAGGGAGGTGAAATTCGTTTGTACCTGGCCATTGAAATCTGAGCAGTAGGTGTGTGAGTGTGTGTGTGTGTATGTGAATGTGTGTCAGTGTTTCGAGTATGTATTTCAGGAGTAGTGGAGAGATAGCATGAATGAAGCCTTAGTTCTGAGCTTTATAAGCCTGTAATTAGGCTTAGAAAACAAAAGGCAACTTCCTCCCCTCCCAGGGACTAAATGAGTACTAGAGATGTTCCAATACCATTTATGCCCTGCAAATACCAATTCCGATACCTGAAGTAGCGTATTGGCTGATACCGAGTACCGATCCAATACCATTGCATTAAAAAAACAACAAAAAAAACTTTATACTACTAACTGAAACTAAAGCCTTGCATACTGTACATATTCTCTTTTTGCTGAGGGGGACTTTCCAGTGTAAAATACTGCCAGTATTGCTGACATTTTGCTAACGGCTAACGTAAAACTATTTATTGGAAATTAATTCTTGTTGCCGCTCTT